ACTCAATTAATTCCAAGTAGAAAAAACTATACCAAGTCATGCCATAATAAAATTCAATTATACAGAGATCTTTAACATAGCCAGAGGAATATAGGCTCATTACGTACAGAAAAGAAAACAAAGATAAAAATAACATTTTTCATGGGAAACAATACAAATGAGAAGAAAGTGGCAACATGTTTAGAGGATTGGGAAAAAATCTGTCAACTTAGCAATAGCCATCTACACTTTTTAAAGATACTTTAATGATGTTTTCAAATATGCAAAAGATAAAAGTCCCCATTACCATTACAAGAAGTGTTAGAAGAAGTAAAATAATGCCAGATGGAAATGTGGATCAAAACAAAAGGATTAAGAAATGAGAAATGGCCCGGCTGGTGTGGCTCAATGGTTGAGCATTGACCTATGAACCAGGAGGTCATGGTTCGATTCCTAGTCAGGGCACATGTCTGGGTTACAGGCTCGATCTCCAGTGTAGGGCATACAGGAGGCAACCAATCAATGATTCTCTCTCATCATTGATATTTCTATCTCTCTCCCCCACTCCCTTCCTCTCTGAAATCAATAAAAACATATTAAAAGAAAACAACCCAAAGATAGAGATTGTAAAAAAAAAAAGCAAGATGCAAATATATACTGCTTAGAAGAAAAACACTTTAAATATAAAGACACAACTAATTTAAAAACTAAAGTAAAGAAATATAAAAAGTTATAAATGCTAGTGTTTAGATAATGCAAACCTAAAGAAAATAGAAATGGCTATAGTAATATTAAATCAAAATACAAGCTGTCCCAAAAATGTATACACACTTTAACAGCTGATAACTCAATTTTGAAAATTAAATCTATTTTAATAAATACATTTCATTAAATGTATTTTAATAACTTTGTAATTATTCAGAGTATGTGTGTACATGTTTTGGGGACACCCTGTAGATGTCAGAGCGAAGACTATTACCAGGGATGAGAAAAGTCTTTCATAATGATAATGAGGTCAACTCATCAAGAGCACATAAAAATCCTAAACCTTTATGCCTATTATCAGGACTATAAAATTCATGAAGCAAAAACACTGATAGAACAGAAAGAAGAAATAAACAAATCCAGAATTATAGCCATATATTTCAGTCCTTCTCTCAATAATTGAAGGAACAAGGAGACAGAAAATCAATAAGAATATAGAAGACTTAAACACTATCAACTAACTTTACCTAATAAATATTTATAAACCATCACTCAACAGCAACAGAATACACATTCTTTTCAAACACATGTGGAACATTTACCAAGAGAGGCCATATTCTGAGCTATTCCAAAGTATATTGTAAAAGGATTCAAGTTGTACAAAGTATATTCTCTGACCATAGAGGAATTAAATGAGAATCAATAACAGAAAGATCTTAAACAAATCACCAAATATTTGGAAACTAAATTATATACTTCTGTATAAACCATAGGTTTTTAAAGAGAAAGAGAAAAATTAGGGATTATTTTGAACATAATGAAAATTGGAATACTACTTATCATTTTTGTATGTGAAGGATTGTGCTAAAGCAGCACTTTAGGGAGATTTATAGTATTAAATACCTATATTAGAAAAAAAAGAAAAGTCTCTAATCAATAGTCTTAGGTTCCAACTTAAGTAACTAGAAAAAAAGCAAATTAAATAGAGTAAGTAGATGAATTAAAATAATAAAGACCAAAGAGAAATCAATGAAATATAAAACAATAGGGGAAAATCCTTTAAACCAAATGCTAGTTCTTTAAACAGATCAATACAATTGATAAAACTCCATTAGCAATAGGGAAAACAATAGGGAAAAATTCATTAAACCAAATGCTAGTTCTTTAAACAGATCAATACAATTGATAAAACTCTAGCCAGACTGACTATGAAGAAAAAAGAGGAATGACACAAATATGCTCAACAGCATGAATCATTATAGAAATGAAAAACAAAACCATAAGAAGATGCCATTATATTCCTATTATAATACTAAACTTCAAAAGACTGTTCATATCAACTATTGAAGAGGATATAGAACAAATGGAATTCTAATACTGCTGGTGAAAACATAAAATGATACGAACACTTTGAAAAACAATTTGGCAATTTCTTAAAAGGATAAACATATATGATCTAGTCATTACACAAGAGAAGTGAAAGAATATGTCCACACCAAGACTAGTACACAAAATTCATAGAAGCTTTATTTGTAATAGTCCAAAACTGGAAACAACCCAAATGTTCATCAGTAGGTACATGGATAATCAAACTGGTCTATTCATGCAAACAGAATATTACTCAGCAATAAAAAAATGAATGAACTATTAATACATGCTACAACATCAATGACTATCAATGATGTAAAATATAAGAAGTCAGACCCCCCCAAAAAGAGTACATAATATATGATTTCATTTGTATAAAAATCTAGAAAATGCAAACTCATCTAGAGTGACAGAAGGCAGATCAGTGTTGCCTAGAGGGAGGGAATGAACAAAGGGTGGAGGGTGGGATTACAATAAAGAAACTTTCGGAATGGTGAATATGTCCTTTTTCTTGAATATGGTGGTGGCTGCATGGGGATATACATACATAAGTCAAAACTTACCAAATGGTACACTTTAAAATGTGTATTTCGTTGTATGTCAAATGTGTCTTAATTACGGTATTTAAAAGATTAAGGAATAAATATGAATAATACATAAATAAATCAAAGGTTTGTTTCTTACCTGTCATTCATACTAATCAATATAGGAAACACTGCCTGACTGGTGTGGCTCAGTGGTTGAGCCTCGACCTATGAACCAGGAGGTCATGGTTCAATTTCTGGCCTGGGCACATGTCTGGGTTGTGGGCTCATGCAGTAGGCAGCCGATTAATGATTCTCTCTCATCATTTATGTTTCTATCTCTCTCTCCCTCTCCCTTCCTCTCTGAAATCAATAAAAATATATTTTTATAAGATTATGTTCTCTCTTTAAAATATATATATATATGTATATGAAACACTAATTTATTTGGGCCTGGTAAAAAAGATCCATTTGAATGTATTTTATTTTCTCTACAATTAACCTAAAATATGCTACATGGTTTGTTTTTTATAAACTCACTAGAGGGCCCAGTGCATGAAATCTGTGCACTGGGGGGGGGTGTTCCCTCGGGGGGCAGATTGAGAATGCCTGATCACTTACACCCAAACCCTACAAAGCAAAGGTTAGACTGTAGTAATGGGTCCAATTGGGAGCTGCACCCAATACATGTTACAGTCCCAATTTGTTCCAGCTACAGTTGTAATTCACCTCGGAAATTCAGTGCATGGAAAACAGAAAAAGATTAGGCTGCTGGAGATAGGGAACATTTGATTCTAGAATTTTTTTATAAATATATTTTTATTGACTTCAGAAAGGAAAGGAGAGGGGTAGAGAGATAGAAACATCAATGATTGGCTGCCTCCTGCACACCCAACACGGGGGATGGAGCCCACAACCCACGCATATGCCATGACCAGGAATCGAACAGTGACCTCCTGGTTCATAGGTCAATGCCCAACCACTGAGCCACACAGGCTGGGTTAGGATTTTTATTTCAAACAAAATAAAAAACTGCATGAGATTCTTTATGTTATTTTTTTAATCCTGCTCACTTCTCAGGAGAAAAATAAATCCCTCTTCCTGCCATGTAATCTTTTCATCTTCATACAGTCTACTAGACATTAAAAAAAAGATTCGTAACTGAAGTAGGCTAAGTACCATCTCAACATGCAAAGTCATTGACATATATAATGCACTTAAATTCAAGTTTAAATTCGAGTGCTACATTAAATATTACCAAAAGCAAGTCTTCGGTGGGTCTGTAACTTAGTGTGTCTAATATGTACACATATTTTAAAATGTGTATCTTCAACATTTAATGTCTTTTACTCTTATTGATAAAGAGCCTTTGCTTCAAAAACTTTTTCAAAACTGTCACCAAAACTGTGCTGACAATGTTCGTCTGCACAGAGTATTCTCTAATTATTTGATATCTACATTTATGTAGCTGTCTGTCTTCACCCCCAAACACTGAAAGAAAACTGTCTGATAAAGAGCTCAAAGGTTTTGAAATCAGAGGACCTTGGTCCCAGGGCCACCATACACTAGATTCAGCCTTGGGCACTGCTTTTAACCTCTCTCTGCCTCTTTCTTCAAACAGGACATAGGGATGATATTTTATGGTTGCTGTGAGGATCAATCAAGGGAATGGGATAAAGCTCTTAGCCAAGAGCCCAGCTCATAGTGAGATTTCAAAATACAAGAGCTACCTTGGGCCCAATGAGTGTAAATTAGCCCATTATATAGCAACATGTGTACAGTGCATCCTAGCAGGAGTAGAATGCTGAAAAATTATTTGACCAAAAGGAATATTTGTTAGAAAAGCAGAGAAAATCTAAATTAATTAAAATGAAAAGACCTAGTTTAATTTCATCTTTGGCATGTTAATTAATTAATTCTGATGGGTTATTATAGTCAACTGTCTATCTGATAGTCTGCAAAATGGACATGACCTGTAATTGGCAGATGCTTGGTGAGTTTGTACTAAGAGATTTAATCAAACATGTTTGTCTACAGCAGCAATTTCTATACTTTTATCTGTCTGATAGGATAAGATCTCTTTCACTTTGAGGAAAAAACATAAAATTGAGTGATATTTCTCAATATAACAGTCATTAATCATCATGTATTTCCCCCTAATGATAAACATATGGAGGAAGTGTGGCTCCACAGGACATTAGTGGCATTAGGACCTGACCTGCAGAGTTTAACACTCATGAGAATTCCAAGAGCATTTACAGACCATGTGAGAGCCTTAAATCCACTTACAGAAAACTAGTGCTAAAAAGTTCCATGCCATTGACAACTGGGAATGTCTTGAATTTGCTTCTTTATTTTCCCAAGCAAAACACTATTGCCCCTGATATTCATTGTCCTTTAAAGATTATTTTGTTCATTCCACAGGTCTCCTGTGATGGCTGGAGGTCTCTTTGCTGTGAATCGCAAATGGTTTTGGGAGTTAGGTGGCTATGATCCAGGTTTAGAAATCTGGGGAGGAGAACAGTATGAAATCTCTTTTAAGGTAAGTCACCAAGACCCTCTTCACATTATACTAGTATGTACGTAATTTTGACAAGTCTGATAGAATGTCATTATTTCATTTTATGACCTACTAGCCCCAGTGCACAGATTTGTGCACCCGTGGGGGTGCCTGGCCTGCAGGGATCTGGCTGAAACTGGCTCTCACGACATCCCCCAAGGGGTCCCAGATTGCGAGAGGGCACAGGCCAGGCCGAGGGACCCCGCTGGTGCTCGATTGGGGTGGGGAAGGACCACGGGAGGGCTCCATGGCATGTCTGGCCCATCTCGCCCAGTCCCGATCAGCCGGACCCCAGCAGCAAACTAACCTATGGGTCAGAGAGTCTGCCCCCTAGTGGTCAGTGCGTGTAATAGTGACTGGTTGAATGGTCAAATGGTCGGAGGGACAACTAGCAATTAGGCTTTTATATAGAGAGATGTTGTGAGATGATGAAAATAGACACACTGTCTTTTCAAGTCAGCCGTTGAATGAGAGAATCTACTTCCTTCTGATGTTTCAGTGAGACATAGCCATGCCATAAAAAAAATGCAGAATATAAATAATTCAAAACCCCATTTGCAGGTTGGAAACTTGTTTCACCAACAGACCTACTATTCCCCTGACCAGTGCTTTCCTTCTGAGCACTTAGAAAGATGGATAGAAGAATTAAGATGAAAGAAAGCAAATGTATTGGAGCTTTTGCCCTTTCTATTTGTTCTAGAAATAGTATTTCACATTTTGATCATAACCAGTTATTCCAAAATTTCAATAACGGAAGAGTAATTTTGAAATATGAATCATAAATTAAGGCTATTTTTATGTAATTCCAAAATAAGCAAAATTTTTAAACTTATTTTTATCTGAAATTGCCCAAGTATCTATTTGCTTTGACCATTAACACTCAGTAAAATTATATGCTTTATCATATAGATGTACATGTTAGATTATCAAATAAATGAAAAAATTTTACCACATGTGAAGACCATAAAAGCAAAGCAAAATAAACTGTGCAAAAAGGTGTATTCCAAACCACCAATATGTCTTTTGTTTCTAAAAAGCAGTCTTATAACAGAAAGAAATCATTTTCTTTTTTTTACATTATCATTATCACAATTTATATAAAAAATAGATTGATTGTTGCAGGATTTATCATATAAAATATCTTATTAAGTAAATCAGCTTTTTCTAATTATTGCCATTATGAAATCAAACCAACTCTGGCTGAGGGAAAAAAAGTATTGTGAGTACAGTAAAAGTCAGACAGGAATCTAGTTAAATTTCTTGAATTGATGTATAAAAAGAAAGTGATAAAAACTGATTTTCATAGAACTGTAACAGCTATATTCAATGTGTTAACCAAAATGATATGTTGTCCTAAAGAGTCATTAAATAAATATTCACAAAGAGATGCTCAGGAGGCGTGATTGCAGGCTTCAAGACATCTAGAATTTTCCATCTCACAATGCTGGCAATAAACCTTGAAATGCCACTTATTAAATTAGTGCTTTTCTTTCATCATCCTTCAAATACATCTAATATCACATATAAACTACTTTTTTCTTAACCTTTTTATAAATACATGGTTTAAAATCCTTGAATTTACCAGGTATCTTTTTGGTTTCTCTGTTATAGCTGCACAGTTATCACATTGTATGTAACAACTATAGAAGTCATAATGATAGCATCTACTATGTTTACCTAGTGGCATGAGCCAGAAGGTGAATAAGTGCTTTATATGCATTATCTAATTTAAAATCACAAATCTAAGAAGTAGGTATGATTCCATTTTACAGATGAAGAAACTGAGACTTAAGGTTTTAAAAGATTTTTAGATTCAATTATTTTTAACTTTTAAAGATTAAGTAAACTACCAGGTGCCAATTAAGCATTAAAATGCCCCATTCCTGCTTAATTGCAGAGATGCAGGATTATGAAGTTATCTGACTCTCAAGTCATATCTGCCAACACCGTCCTAAGTTCATTGATCTCTACCTAATGGTTCCTTTCATTGAACAGAGGCAAGTGACTTCACTATAGTCTAATAGCACAGCCACAAGTGTTCTGCTGACCCTGGCAAAATACCACTGGTTGGCAGATACTGCCTAAAGCCAGATGCAAAGTTTACAATAATACCTTCAACTGGAAAAATTAAAGATAAAAATGGCCTTGCTATATTTGCGCCATCATCAGAATCCAAGGGATTCTTTTTACTTTTCAGAGTTCAAGAGATTTTTTTTCTTAAATTATCTTAATTACTGAATTTTTTAAGTTTAAAATATTAAGAAATTATCTATTAAGCAAGAGATGCTTGGTTTTGACTAATGAACTGGATGATGGATAAATTGCTATCAAAGAGCAGAGAGTCTGCAGAATATACATTTGCATTGTAAGGCACAAAAGCATTTTCTAGACCAACATAAACTTGCATCTCCCACTTCTCTGTCACACGTATCTATCACATCTCTTTGGGGTGACCTGAAATTTTATTACCCCATTTTCAATTTTTTAAGTTATCTGTCATTCTGAAGGATATAATTGGAATGCAGCCCTGTCGGCTTTGTCTAGAAACCATGGCAACAGTGCTGGAAGTTCAGGACTAAATTGCCCTAGGTTGTTTGGTTGGAATGACAGCTTCTTTGGCGACAGCTATGTCTTACAGGGTCCCATTTTAGACATATCCCTTCATTCTTCGCACTATTGTGTGATGACCTTGGGGTTCCTGTCATTCCTTTTTAGTATTTGTAACATGTGGAGGACAAACTTAAACAGCATAGGTAGAATGAACTTTGAAGCAAGAAGAATTTTCTCCGTGTGCAAAGAATCAAAAAACTTGTACACAATATCTTGGTTAAATGATACTATATGATACCATTTACAATTAAAGAGAAAAATCAAATATCTAAGTTTTTTGGCATAGTCCATAAATTGTGATTGGTTTTACAGGGTGAAGCACTGTAAGATATAAACTGGTCGGCACTTAAGGTTTGGGAAATATGTATGGATAGCTGAGAGCCGTTAGTGTGTTTTACTCCACAATATAGAAAGTATTTGAAGTCTAGAACTTAAAAGCTCTAATTAAAAAGGTTTCTGTCTATGGTTGTTATCAGACATCTTAGCTAGCTATTTACTTTTCAACCAAAGAATCATTTCACCAAAGATGTTGATAAGATTCCATCACTGAATAAAAGTGTTTCCAGAAAGCTCTGCTTTATATAAAGGGCTTAGTTTTGGGTCAAACATTATTTGGCTAAAAGTGCTCCACAACTCTGTTTCTCTCTAAACATCTTCCCTTCCTTTTTCTAACATCTGATTAGATGAGTAGATTTCATGCCATAACATATAAGCCAATGGTATAATTTTCAGGAATAGGTTGAGGAAACGATGTCTCCAGAGAAATGATCTGTCTGCACTGTGCCAGTTGTTAGTATCCTATATAATAAAAATATACTATGTAAATTGTCCCCTTGACTGGGAGTTTGTCCAGGAGTTTGACCAGGGGGCCAGGGGAAGGGAGGGAGGCCCCAGCCAGCAGCCGGCAGTCGCTAGGGACTTTACCAGTGCATGAATTTTGTGCACTGGTCCTCTAGTGTTTCAATATGAGTCTGAACTCCTAGATGGCCCTAAATTATCCAGCTGTCCTTCAAATGTTTCTAAGTAAGCCGGCTGCTTCAGAGGAGAAAGAAACCTTAAGTCATTCAATAAGCTTTAATTGAGCATCTAATTTGTGTCAGGCATTGTTCCAGGTTCTCAATTTGGAGTTGCACCAGGAAACCAAGACAGACTGAACAGTGTGGCATAAAAGAGATAACGCCCATCTTTAAATATTGTCTGCCATTTAAGTTGCCAAATTAATGTTAAAATCATTAGGAGTCTGTGATTTTCCAGAGTGTGTTTTCACATCCATTCCCCAAAGATAAAAGTCCAAATGTCAGGATTTTCAAAAGATCTGTCCTTCGAGTGCCAAAAACTCTTCTCAGAAAATAAAAGTGAGCAAAAACCACTCATTAAGCACCATCAAATTTAGACTGAAGCCCAGGGGCAGACTGACTCTATTCCATAGTATTCTCTGGCATGGACATAAAGTTTAGAGCTAGGCAGAAGAGCAAAAAGTCTGGTTTGGGCTGCCCTCTTTTAGCCCCAGGAGCTTATCAATATGGTCCCACGTTGATCCAGTACTTCTTGGGCCATTTCATAGTCCAGGAAGAATTCTTGATCACCAGCCTTAGCTGGACAGAACGTTCGAGGCCCCAGATGAGATTAGTATGGGGACCTTATGTCCTACAGTGAATCTACCAAAGCTGGTAGCTCCACACAGCCTATTTCAAAAACCATTCTTAAGGAATTATAACACACTATGTAATCACCTTTGTTTTGTGCTGTTGTCCTTCCCATGTATTGAGCTTAAGATTCAAACATTTAAGGAAACATTAACTTACTTCTCACATCTTTTAGTCCTTATCAGTCATTAAGTCATTCAGCAGACATTTATTTGACAACAATGTGCCAACTCTGGGCTAAACTCTTGAGATATAAAGATAAATGTGAGAAGATTCTCACTGTGGACGAGCTTACTCTGCAGTAGCAGTTTAAAAATTAATTTGCCACAATTTCTCATCATCTTCAATATTGTCTGGAATATTTTTTATTTGCATACTCACAGTAATAATTTGGGATGCATACAGTAGCCTCTTTGCTAGCCTCCCTTCCTCTATTCTTTCTCCTCTTTTAACCTATCTCCACATTTCATTCATTTATTCCCTGAGTTGTTTTATTTTCCCCTCCTACAACTTCACAGTCGCCACTAATTACCACACAAATTAAATGAACACACTGAATCAAAAATCATGAAACTTTCCATCAATTACCTGCCTCACCTATGTGTCTCAATTCACACTGAAAACCAATTTAACTACTGTATTCCCTTTCTTCCCAGAAGATAGAAATTCATGCTTCCATTGCTGTGCCTACTTATTGCATAGATTTTAACCAACCAGTCAGACTTT